AATGGAGAGAACAGCTACAGGCCTGAGCAGACGGGAAGCTCGCAGCTCGAGACAAAGCCCAGCAAAGGGCAGCAGCACTGGCGCAGACAGGGCACCAAGACTAACCCAGGAAGGCCAGAACCAGGCTGAGCAAAGAGCAGAGGAAAGCAAAGCAGAGGCTGCCAGCGAAACATGACAAAATAGAAGCGACCCCAAACAGTGCTTTATGGAAATACAGTCTACCTATGGGATAAACACTGGATTCTGTGCAAGTGGTATGGAGACTTTTGTGGATTTGGAAAACAGAACTAAGGAATCTACTTGACCACACCACAGAGATAAAAGGAAAACCTAAAAGAGAGGTTAAGAAAGATGGCAGATAGGGGCGCCTGGGTGGCTCAGTTGGTAAGCGTCTGACTTCAGCTCAGGTCATGATCTCACGGTTCCTGAGTTTGAGCCCCGCATCAGGCTCTGTGCTGCCAGCTCAGAGCCTGGAGCCTGCTTCAGATCCTCTGTCTCCCTCTCTCTGTGCCTCCCCCATTCTCTCTCTCTCTCAAAAACAAATTAAAAAAAAAAAAAAAAGAAATATGGCAGATAGATTTAGAAGCATTACCACAATGTTTAGTAGCTCTTTTAGGAGAGACTAGTGAATAGGGAAGAGGAAGCCTTCAAAAGGAAAGTGGAGGCACTCTTCAGAAACGAAGAAAGACAGGTGTGCATCCTTGTGGTGAAAGTACTCACCCAAGTTCCAAGAAAGGTACATTAAAAAAAAAAAAAATCCTCACCTATGTATATTGCAAATAAATCCCTAAAAATCAACCAGATTTTTAGGAAAGAAACTCCATAAGGAAAGACTATCAGATGACAGCAGACAGTTAGCAACAGTGAACAGGGTACCTGAAGACCAGGAAATAGTACATTCACACTTAGAGAACATAACCACTAACTCTGGATTTGGTATTAGCTACACTGTCATTCAGAGTGAGGGGGAAATGACATTTCAAACATCCAAAGGCTGAGAGTTTGCAGTGTGCAAAACTTCGGTGGAAGAAAAAAGGTGTACTTGGGGAGAAAAAAATCCAGGGTGCATCAACCAAGGTGGGGTATACCTAATAAGCACTGGCTATAAATTATAATATAGCTTAAAAAGAGCCAGAATGAGAATTCTAGATAGCAATAATGTTAAGTGTTATTCCAGGGGTCCTTGTTCAGAAGAAATGTAAGCACACCTCAAGATTCACACGCACAAAGGAATTTTTGAGGATGAGGATGTTCACTGGAGCATTACATGGTGTAGTGAAAAGCTGAAAACAAAACTTAATTGTCTATCAGAAAGGGGAATGCATAAATAGAATACTGTCCATTCATATGGCGAAATACTATAAAGTAGTTCAAAGGAATGAGCTAAACACTTATGAGCATCAACATGATACATCTCATGAGCACTGCTAAAGGAAAAGAAAGTTACAGGGGTGCCTGGCTGGCTTAGTTGGCAGAGCATGCGACTCTGGGTCTCGGGATTGTGAGTTCGAGCCCAGCGCTGGGTACAGGGATTGCTTAAAAAAAAAAAAAAAAAGTTTACAGAGTGATATATACTTAAGATAAAATACTCCAAGTACTGTAAGGACAGTCTTTTCAACAAATGGTGTTGGAAAAATTGGATAGCCACATACCAAAGAATGAAGTTGGAAGCTTATCTTACACCATATACAAAAATTAAAATGGATCAAAGGCCCAAATGTAACAGCTAAAACTATAAAACTCTTAGAAGAAAATAGGAGGAAATCTTAATGAGGAATCTGGCAGTGATTTCTTAGGACACCAAAAGCACAGGCAATAATCCTTCTGGAAAAGATTCACACCACTCTAGATGCCATTAAGAACATGCAAGGTTCACGGGAAGAAAGCAAAATATCAACATTAACAGGATTCCAACTGGGAAATACTGATGCCAAACTCTTGGATGACTTTGAGAGGGTCAAGACTTCCGTGGAGGAAGTCACTGCAGACGCGGTGGAAACAACAGCAAAAGAACTAGGATCAGAAGTGGAGCCTGAAGATGGGCCTGAGTCGTCACTGCAATCTCAGGATCAAACGTGACTGGGCGAGGAGGAGTTGTTTCCTGTGGATAAGCAAAGAAAGTGGTTTCTTGAGATGGAATTTACTAGTGCAATGCCGTGACGACTGTTGAAATGACAACAAAGGATTGGCAATATTACTTAAATCTGGGTTGACTCCCATTTTAAAAGTACTACTGTGGGTAAAATGCTATCACACAGCATTGTCCTCTACAGAGAAATCATTAGCAGGGTCAGCGCGGCAAACTTCACTGTCTTATTTTAAGAAACTGCCGCAGCCACCCCACCTTCAGCAACCAACACCCTGGTCAGCAGCCATCAAGACGGATACTTCACCAGCAAAAAGATTATGACTCACTGAGGGCTCAGATGATGGTTAGCATTTTTTTTTGGCAATAAAGTATTTTAAAACTAAGGTACATATACTATTTTCTAAGAGACCTAATGCTGTTGCACACTTAATATGCTGCAGTATAATGTAAACCTAACTTGTATATGCACTGGGAAACCAGAAAGTACATTTGACTCGCTTTATTGTGATATTCTCTTTATTGTCGTGGTCTGCAACAGAACCCACGATGTCTTCAAGGTATGCCCGTAATTTCAAATGGCTCAGGGGAAAAAGTTCCTTATTCTGTACTTCGAACTTTGAAGTTTCTGGTTGTTTAAAAATACATATTTAACAGATTAAAAAAACAGATACCTACTACATCGGCTCAAATCAAACATCTAGGGAGGCCTTGGACTCATCATCCATCCAGCCCCACTAGCCACTTCAGACCTGATCTTTACCATGTCCAGTAGTTGGAGCTGATCTCAGTGTGGTCACTTTTGTCTGGTTAAAAAGGCCGGGGGCAGAGACTGGGCCCTGCCCCCCCCCCCCCCGTAGGGCCCAGTAGGGGGCGTCTGGCTGGCTCAGTCAGCAGAGCAAGACTCTTGATTTTGGCATGGTGAGTTCCAGCCCCATGTTGGGTGTAGGGATTACTTAAAAATAGGGGCGCCTGGGTGGCGCAGTCGGTTAAGCGCCCGACTTCAGCCAGGTCACGATCTCGCGGTCCGTGAGTTCGAGCCCCGCTTCAGGCTCTGGGCTGATGAGCCTGTTTCCGATTCTGTGTCTCCCTCTCTCTCTGCCCCTCCCCCGTTCATGCTCTGTCTCTCTCTGTCCCAAAAATAAATGTTGAAAAAAATAAAAATAAAAATAAAAATAAATAAGTAAATAAACTTAAAAAAAAATTTAAAGTCCCAGTAGTGTGGCAAAAAGAGAGGGGATTGTGGTCTTCTGTTACTGTCTCTCTATTTGATCGTTAACAAGTCTTCTCACCTCCCTGAGCCTTGCACTTTGTCTCTGCGAAAGGAGAACAGTATCCCTACCCTTCACTGTCTCATGTGGTTATTATAAAGAACAGATGAAGTAACCCAAGTGAAAAGGTGTTTTTGTAAAACAGCAAGCACCTTGTGACAATTTACCCCTGCATTCAGTAGGGTGATTTTTATTGTCCTGAAGCCTTAATTTTAGGTCACTTAAAAACTGTAGATTTATTACATATGTGTGTGTGTATATATGTGTGTGTGTATAAAGTTTAAGGGAATAAAATTTTTAAAAATCCTGTAATCCTACCCCCCAAACTAATTTATTAAAAAACTAAAACCAAAATTCTCCAAAACATACCACACCCCAGTCTGCCTTAAGAGGATTACATTGAACTCTGCTGATCTGTTTACTTGGGATGGTCCTGAAACTCGATTCCTTTATACTTTTTAAAAAAATGTTTATTAAAAAAAATTTTTTTTAAACATTTATTTTTGAGACAGAGAGAGACAGAGCATGAACGGGGGAGGGGCAGAGAGAGAGGGAGACACAGAATGGGAAGCAGGCTCCAGGCTCTGAGCCATCAACCCAGAGCCGGACGCGGGGCTCGAACTCACTGACCGCGAGATCGTGACCTGAGCTTAAGTCGGACGCTCAACGGATTGAGCCACCCAGGCGCCCCTAAAAATTTTTTTTTAATATTTATTTTTGAGAGAGACAGAGTGAGAGCAGGGGAGGGGCAGAGAGAGGGAAACACAGAATCCGAGTCAGGCTCCAGGCTCTGAGCTGTCGAACTCGGGGCTCGAACTCAAAAACCGTGAGATCATGACCTGAGCGGAAGTGGGAAGCTCAACTGACTGCGCCACCAGGCGCCCCAATAAACTCCTTTCCTTTTAAAGGCCACCTTGTTGCCCTTCACCATTGTCCCCCCGACAGACACTGCGATGGGCGTTCGTTGGGTACGTAACCATCGTGGTCTAGCACGAAATGGCCTTTGACCTAACAACGATTTCCTCACCTCCCAGGCGTACCCTTTCCGAGGGGCCAATAAGCCCCAGCTGCTCAGCAGTGACCAAAAACCCTTCACCGGAAGACCTCTGCCCGCGGCGCCACGAAGCGGCCCGCCCCCTATCCTAAACTCCGCCCACCCCAGGGCTCCCGGGCTGGGCCGCCCCGACCACTTCCGGAGGTGCCCGGAAGTCCATGTCACTTAGCAACCCAGGGCACTGGCAGAAGGCTAGCGCTGAGACCTGGGATGGGCTGCGGTCTGGGACCCGCAGTCCCCCACCGGTCCTGTCATATCGCTTCTGGGGTCTCTCCAGGGCTTAGCAAGAGCAGCCAGTAAGCAGGTGGCATTCCTTTCCAAAACGTCAGTCATCCCGTCCCGTTTTCTTAAGGAGGACGACGACTACCATTTTTTGAGCGCCTATGTGTCAGGCTCCATCTGAGACGTCACATAATCTAACCCTAATAATTACACAGCCTGTCTCACTGTTAAGGAAACCAGGCTCAGAGGGGTTGAGGCGCTCAACCTGAGGAACCTTTCCCCGGGGGACACACAATTGGAACCCTGCCATGCTGAATCCCGCATCCCAGTTCCCCATTCAGGAGGTTGGGGAAGGAGCAGCAAGAACTTAAAACTTTACCCAAAATGTTTTATTTTCCATAATGACTTATGCGTGTTTATATAAGCCCAAGTCCCGGGGGGGGAGGGGGCAGGGTTTTGGCCCATGCAAAATAGCAAAGAGACCCAAGGAGAAGGGGCAGTAAATGCGTTAGAAATGGATGAGCTGCATCTGATTTCCTCAATCCAGGGCTCAGCTTACTTGGCAGGAAACATTGAGAGATATCTGGGCTGAATAAATCAGGGAGTGAGATCCAGAGGCACCAAAAGGTTGGAATATGATTCCTTTCTGGCCGGAGGAGGCTGAAGTCTGGGCCACCTGGTAGCTGCAAGCACTGCTCAGAGTGTCAGCCCCCGCTCCTTAAACAACTGCTTTAGAGCCTCTTCCAGCTGTCGGTTTGTTCCCTGAAGCCCCTTCACCACTTGCGCTGCCCACTCGAAGTATTCCTGGACTCGATGTTCAGACCATCCTGCATGAGAACGGACAGAAAACTGCTCATAGGACATCCAGGACAGTATTGGATTTTGCCCACTTCCTGGAGGGCATGGTGCACGGCCATGAGATGAGTGCCTGATGGGATCTGTCCACAGCACTTGCCCTGGGCCCAGTTACTGTTATTGCTACGGTGTGAAAGGAGACCAGAGACCAGAGTGGTCTAGTATTAGCTTGGGGAGTCAACAAGAAAGCCCAGGCTCTTTTCTTTCCAGGGGAACTGACCAACCTGTGCCTGGGGAAGGTGGGCGTCCCTCCCTTCCCCCCCAGGGCAGGTGGGGGGAGCGTACCCTCTGGGGTGCAGCGATTCAGGTCCCTCAGATTGTACAGCTTGTCTGCCAGCTTCACCAGTTTAGCCCCGGGACTGCTGTGGGGAGCCTGCTCCACCTGCAGCCGCTTCCTCTCCAGCTTGGGCAGAGTCTTGTCATCTGTTACCTCCTCCACCAGGCGCCGCACTTGTGCCCCGAAGTGCAGCTCCACCTCATCCAGGGTGGTGTCTGTGTCCTCCACTGTGTCATGGAGCAGCGCTGCCTGGGGACAGGCTTCCACTTAGCCCTGCGGCTCCAGCCAAGGGGTGCTCAGGGCTGAATGGGGCCCCTGATCCCCACCCTAGCTCCTAGTGGAGGAACGACGAGAGTTACCTGTAACACCACAATGTCAGTAACTCCCGCCTCATGGGTCAGGATCCGAGCCACACCTGACGGGGCAAAGCAGGAAGTCAGAACTGAGGGAGTCCCAGGCTGCGTGTTGTGGATTCTGTAGAGCCAGATGTGGCTTCTCACTAGCCAGATGACCTTGGGCAAGTCCTTTACTCTCTTTGGGTGTCAACTGTGCAGAGGAACAGTGATGCCTACCGCCCCGGGTTGTTGTGAGGCTTAAACACGAAAGGTGCCTGGCACAAAGCCTGGTACAGAGCAGGTGCTCAATGAGGTGTAGGCCCTCCGCGTTCCCGTCCCGGTCCCCACCCCCTAGACGCCGCTGCGGCTGCTCCCGAGGCGGTGCGCCCACCGATAGGGTGGTTGATGTAGGGTGTCCCTTCGGGGTCCTTGCGCCGCTGCAGTCGGTGCTTGCGAGCTGCGAAGTCGGCAGCCTCCACTAGCTGCGTGGCCTCGGAGCCCATCGCCGGGGTGGGGCAGGCGACTGAGGTCCCCAGAGCCCCTGGAGCCCGGGACGGAGCGTTCACAGCGCCCCCTGGCGCCTCGGAGGCCGGGGGGGGGGCGGTTCTGGCTCACTGGTTCTCTGCAGCTGATACCCTGGCGGAGAGAGTAAGGGAGTTTGGGAGCTGCCCTCAGCATCGCAGCCCCTGGCGCAGGCGCTCTCCGAAGGTGCAGGAAGAACATGGCGGGGCTCCCTGGGAGGCCACAGTCTCGGGGAAGGAGGAAGACAAACAAGAAATAAGACAGTGTCCTCACAGTGTGCCACATCCAGGGCTGGAAGACATAGGGGGTTTTGGTACCTTGGAGGAAGGGCGTTCACCTAGCCTCTGTGGTCAAAGACAGCCTCTCCCAGGAGGATCCTCTCCTCCCATGAAAAGACAACCTTCAATCTGTCAATGCTCTGAAAATTCTCAAAGTGGTCCCAAAGTGGTTTTCCCTGCAGGGATGGGACTGGTTGCTATGGGCATGGGAGCCTCACCTTTGGGCCTGATCTTCTGGAAATTGGAGCCTACACTAGAAGCCTGCCCAGTAGACTCACAGGCCGCAGTGATGTTTCTGCAAGAACTGTCTTCTTTGTTCTCAGGTGCCTGGACAAAATGTTTGCATTTCTTTCTTGTGCCATAAGTGTTCCTGCTTCAGTCCCCAGGCACCTGCTGTGGGCCCCTCGGGTGATAACTGTTGTCTTGCTGTTCTGGGAGCATGGCATTGTCAGGCCTCAGTAGGCCCTAGGATAACACTTAACACTGCTGGCTGCTGGCCATCAGCCTCCTAGAGAAATCCCCTGTCACAGCAGATGGTATCTATGAGGTTTAAGGGGCAAGAGAGACCCGGAGACCCTGAAAGAGCTTCTCCTGTGCACTGGGACTGGCTAGTTGTGAGGTACAGTTCTCCAATCAGACTGGTAGCTTTTGTGCCTTTGGCTGGTCGCTGGGGCAGATGAGGGCTCAAGGGAAAAGTTAATGGAAGGACTTGCCCTTGTTTTTCAGCTAGTCTTGGTGGTTGTCATGATGCAGAAGTTAGGGAGGAAAGCTCCAGAGCTGTCACTGAGGTCCCTGGGGCCTGAAATGGAACGATCATTATTCCCAAGGCTTCCACAACAGCCTGGGAGGTGAGAGTGCGTAGACAGAAACGCTTGTCTGTTCGTCAGGCTCATGGCTCAGCTTCTCTCTCATGCTTGCTTCTGCCTTCTGGTCTTCTGAGGCATTCCCCCTTCAGCTCAGAAAACCTTAGGCAGCTTGGAGACACAGTCCCCATGTTTTCCATCAGAAGATAGAAACTCAGTCCCTTTCATCTCTCTCTAGAGGTTGGTGACAGAGAAGCTTCAGGTTTGTATTAATGGTGCCCAGGGGCCTTGTGGTTTTGATTTTTATTTCCTTACTGTCTGCAGCCATGGCTTAGAAAGAGAGATGTCGGGGTTCCCACCGCCAGGACCGAGGTGGAGGTGACCGCGCATGGACTTTCAGAGGAGGCTGGGCCTTTTGCTCACAGCCCTCAGCGCGGGGCTACTGTTGCTTTTCAGCTGGGTGACGCTTGCTCAGCCCATCTCTCTTTCAGGTACAGCGCTCTCCTCTCCCCTCTGCGCGTGCCCCTCTTCAGATCCCCTATCATTTCAGCAGGGGGCGGGCTGCCCTGGGGAGCTTGTGGGGAGAAAGGAATCTGCGCTTTTGAGAACGGTCCTTTTCACTCTCCAGAGGGGTCGAAGTGGGGTGTGGACAGACCATTCTTGCCCGTCTCCAGCCCCCTTGCTCCTCCCTTCAGCACTGGCCCACCACCCCCACTTGTGCCAGACTAGCTGGGATGCTGATGGCCGCCACTACCCCGGTTTTTTCTGTCCTCGGCTGTCGGATACCCCGGAGGAAGCTTACTGCTGTCACCTGCAGGCTGCAGGGGGCTCCTGCTGCACCCGGGCTGAATTTGAGGCCTTGTACCAGGTCAACCTGTCCGCCCTTCCGCCCCCACCCCTCCTCAGGTGAGAACACCAGCCCCAGAGCCACTGGGATCCAGACAGGGTGTTCCAGCATCCGGGGCTCTGTTTTTAAATTCTGGGGCGGAAGGCTTAGTACAGACTAGTGGAGGGGCCGACTTCGAACAGAAAATCGCGTGAATGCATGATTACAAACAGTTTTGTGGAGGAAGTTCAGGAGGCTGTGTAAGCGGGTAACAGGGAGCCACTGCATGCATAGAGGGGCTGGGGCGGGGTGGGACAGGTGTCTAGACTAAGAGGATTTTGTAGTCCGAGGATTACACCCGTTATGGGTGGGGTTTTCAATCCTGAATCCGTCCATGAATGGTTTCACGGCACCTGCGAGCCCTCTGAATTTCTAGTTAGGAATTCTATATTTATCTGGGGAGAGGGGTGTCCCGAGCTTTCTCCGGACTCTAAGGGGCTCAGTAACCCAAAGGCTGCAGCAGTGAGCGCGCGGCTGGGGCCAGCACCTTGATACTCTCGCCTCTCCCACAGGGGCCGGGGTCCGCTCCTAGCGCTGGGCCTCTATACCCTGCTGCTCGTGGCCCTGATGACCGCCGACCTCGTGCACTTCTGCCGCAGTCGGGCAGGGGGTCGGCGCCCAGGCAGCCTCGGGCCTCCCTCTGGGTCCTCTGCCGCGCGCCCCCTGCGGATCTCGGCTGGAACACACTAGGCGCGCCCACGGCTACTCTGCGCCGCGGACCCGAGCCCCGCCCCCTCGCCCGGCGCGCTCTCGCGTTGGCCCCGCCCCTTCCCTGCACCCGCTCTGACGCAAGACCGGGGCGGGGCGGCCGACGTCAGATTCCGGAGCCTGATCCCACCCCCGCCCCAGAGACTGCGCTTGCGCGCGCCTTGGACTCTGGCTCCGCGATGACTGTGAGTGGTCCAGGCACCCCCGAGCCCCGGCCGGCTGCCCCCGGGGTGCGTACCCGTCCCGCCCGCGCCATGGCTACTTCCCACCTGTTCTGACCGTTCCCGACCCTCCTTCTCCCCAAGTCTTGGCCCTCCATGGGATTTGCCCCTGACCCCCAGTCTCCTCTCTCCCAGCTCCCCGGCCCTGGCTGGAGCCCACCCCCAGTGTTTCCCCCCATTCCCTCCACAGGCCAGCTCAGTGGAGCAGCTGCGGAAGGAGGGCAACGAGTTGTTCAAATGCGGGGACTACGAGGGCGCCCTGACGGCCTACACTCAGGCCCTGGGTCTGGGTGCGACGCCTCAGGACCAGGCGATCCTGCACCGAAACCGGGCCGCCTGCCACCTGAAGCTGGTGAGGGAGCCCACTGCCCTTCCTCTGCCCTGCCACGGCCCGGTTTCCCCGTCTCGCTGCTGCTTGGGCCCCGGTTGGGCATTAACCTTCCCAAGCCACCTACACTGGTCTGATGTCTCTTGGGCCTCCGGGTGGTGGTGAATCGAGTGGCTCTGGGGAACTACCCTGCTGCCCCGCTAGTGCTGGGAAAGGGAGATGACCAGCCTCTCAAGCCCCTGAACCTCTTCTTGCAGGAAGATTACGACAAAGCCGAAACCGAAGCATCCAAAGGTAGGGGACTGTGGGCGGTGGTGTGGAGCTGTGGGGCTTCTCCTGGGGGGCAGGGATTCTGGGACCACTGCATGTTCACATTCTCCTTTCCTTTGGCCCCTGAAACACCTCTGCTTTCTTTCTTTCCCACTTCCTTGGGCATTTCCTTTTCTGCAGCTACCCTCACCTTTTCTGAGGCTGGATTACTGAGTCCCACATCTGTCCCCCCACCTTCCTCTGGCCCTCGAGATCTTTCCCCTACCGCTCTTGCCTGGAGATTGGTGGCCTCATGGGTGCTGACGGAGCTCCCGTTTGTACTCAGCCATTGAAAAGGACGGAGGGGATGTCAAAGCGCTTTACCGGCGCAGCCAAGCCCTAGAGAAGTTGGGCCGTCTTGACCAGGCTGTCCTTGACCTGCAGAGATGTGTGAGCCTGGAGCCCAAGAACAAAGTTTTCCAGGAGGCCCTGAGAAACATCGGGGGCCAGATTCAGGAGAAGGTATGTAAATGACATGGGGTGGAGGAGAGAGAGGTGGTAGAGGGACATAGGCCAATGGATCTGGGCAAAGGGTGTAAACACAGAGAGGAGATACTGATGGCAAATGAGCTTATGGAATGAGGCTCAGTCTTGCTAGTATTTAGGGAAAAGCAAACAGAAATAACAGCAACGTGCCGTTTTTTGGTTGTCTCTTTGGCAAGCTTTTTCTTCCTAATGTTTATATATTTTTGAGAGAGAGAGAGAGCGCAAGCGAGCAGAGGAGGGGCAGAGAGAGAGCGAGACCCAGAATCTGAAGCAGGCTCTAGGCTCTGAGCTGTCAGCACAGAGCCCGAGGCAGGGCTCGAAGTCATGAACCGCGAGATCATGACCTGAGCTGGAGTCAGACGCTTAACCAACTGAACCACCCGGGTGCTCGTTTGGCAAACTTTTTAAGCTTTTACACTCTGCTGGAATTAGGGAGGCAGACACTTAAGTGGTGGGCTTGCTCACCCACTGCTGGAGTTGGTATAAATTGGTACATCTTCTTAGCATATGTCTTAAAATTTTAAGTGAGCATATCTGTGATTTAGTATGTTTACTTCTTGTTGCCTTCCCTGGAGAAGCCTTGCGCATGTACACAAGCAGGCGTGTGTATGTTTATTTCAGACTTGTTTGTAGTAATGAAAAATCAAATTGGAGCTTTGTCTTACCTCCGGCAATAGGGGAATGGCTAAATAAACTGGGTGCTGCCCTTACTATAGACTCCTATGCCGTCGTCACCAAGAATAGGTAGATCCACGTGTATAGAGGTGGAAAGAGGCTACTTGTTAAATGAGAAAGCAAAGTGGGCTGTAACACACACTGTATGATATCGTTTATGTTAAAACACTACCCCACATACACCCTCAAAATGATACCATGTTTTTTCTGTGGGTCCGTTTGGGTGTGTAAATATGAAGAAAAATCTTTTTAAAAATAGACGTCAGAATGATAACAGCATGACTCCTTGGTAAAGGAGCAGATTGATGTTTTGTTTGAGGGAGTGCGC